CCGGTCATATAGAAATGTCCACCAGTCCATGGAATTCTCGGGTGCTTGTGATAAAAAAAAGATCTGGGAAATGGAGAATGTTAACGGACTTAAGGAAGGTAAACGAGGTTATACAACCTATGGGACCCTTGCAACCTGGGCTCCCATCTGCTACTATGATTCCTCAGAACTGGTCATTAATTATAGTAGATTTGAAAGATTGTTTTTTCACAATTCTACTACAGCCAGATGATAGAGAAAAATTTGCTTTTTTTGTACCTTCATACAGTCATATGGTTCCTGTGCAACGCTATCAATGGAAAGTGCTTCCGCAAGATATGCTTAATAGCCCTACTATGTGTCAGCATTTTGCTAATCCGCAGCTTTCACAATCAGGCATTCAGTTTCCACAGGTGTTGATTATCCATTACATGGATGATATTCTTTTTGCAGCAGAAATGCCTACACAGGTAGAAGATCTTTATCAAGCTGCTAGATTATTGTTACCCAAAAAGGCCTAATAATAGCAGAGGATAAGGTGCAAACCCAAGATCCCTTCCTTTATCTTGGTGCAAAAATTCACAAAGCAACCATCTTTCCCCCAAAAGTATAAAGATGCCAAGAGAATTTAAAAACTTTAAATGATTTCCAGAAGTTACTAGAAGATATAAATTGGTTGCGACCTGCTTTGGGAATCCCAACTTCTAGCTTATCTCATCTTTTTGGAACATTAGCCCTTGATCCCAACCTTAACAGCTATAGAGTCCTCACAAAAGAGGCAGCGGCTGACCTACAATGGATTAAAAATCATATTGAGAATTGTCAGCTCACTCGTATTCGACTTAATGTTCCTCTTCAATATTGATTTTTCCTACTCCACATTCTCCACTGCGGTCTTACGGCAGGATGGGGGAATCATCGAATGGCTGTTTTTACCAAAAAAGGACACTAAACTTCTTACCATATATCTGAATAAAATTAGGAATATAATTTGGAGAGGCCAATCCCAATTACGTGTGCTTAATGGTGGTGATCCCTCCTCTATAATTAATTATTCCCTTATCATATCAACAAAGTGATATGGCTTACCAAACTAATATACAATGGCAAATAACCTTGTCTGATTACGTCGGGAAATTAGACAATCACTATCCAAGGGACAAAATTTTCTCATTTCTCAAGGCTACATCATGGGTTTGGCCAAAGAGAATTCGAGACCAGCCTTTAGCAGATGCTGACACATATTTTACAGATGGAAATGGTCATGGTAGAGCTTCTATATATGGTCCTATTTCTAAGGCCTGACAGACACCCTATACATCTACCCAAAAGGCTGAATTAGCAGCCGTTATAGAATTGTTGCATCTTGTACCTGCCTCCCTCAATGTTGTGACAGATTCACAATATGTGTGGCCCACAGTCCTAAATATTGAAACCGCACATATTGTTCCACGAAATGAATTAGATCATCTGTTTTTGCATTTACAAGAATTAATACAACATAGGCAACACCCCTTATATATCACTCATATTCACAGTCATTCTAACCTTCCTGGCCTGTTAGCCTTAGGAAATTCCATTGCTGATGACTTATTACAAGGCACCTTACAGATGACACAACAGGAGCATATGCTTCACCATAGTAATGCTCGAGGACTTGCCCATAGACACGCTGTAACTCATGCTCAGTCAAAAGACATTGTTAGTGCCCGTCTATCTTGCGAGCCCCTCACTGTGGCTCCATACACCTCTGGAGTGAATCCTCGTGGACTACAGGCAAATGAACTTTGGCAATCCGATGTTACCCATATTCCAGCTTTTGGTAAGCTCTCTTACGTGCGTGTTACTGTGGATACCTTCTCCAGATAGATCTAGGCTACGTAATGTACCAGAGAAAAGGCTGTGCACGTTATTGCTCATTTTCTTGAAACTTTTGCAATTCTAGGTATCCCACAATGCATTAAAACTGATAATGGCCCTGCATATGTATCTCATAAGGTAGCCCGCTTCTTTGCAGCCCAACAAATTACTCCTCTTACTGGCATTCCCTATAACCCTCAAGGTCAAGGGATCATAGAATGCACTCATCAAGGACTTAAAATTATGTTAATTAAACAAAAAGGAGGAAAAGGAGAAGGACTTAGACCTACACCATGGGAACAATCACACTGTACTTTATATACTTAAACTTCTTGGACACACAAGGACCCCATACATGTCCTGTTGCTGAGGTACACTGGCACAAAAAAAGGCCACCCCTGTTTATCAGGTGTTATTTTGGAAAGATGAGAAGGGACACTGGGAAAAGGGAGAGGTTGTTGTGTGGAGCAAATGGTATGCTTGTGTCTTGACAGATCAAGGCTACCAGTGGTTATGCAGTCAGGGCTTGAAACCCAGGCATGAGTGGATCCAACTGACCTCAGTTTACCATGACTCCACTAGTCAAAGACTTTCACAGAATGTTCATCCAGAAACTGATAATTGTGACCAATGCACCACACCCTCTTCCAAGGCACACGAAGACCAGTAACCTCCTACTTGGGGACAAGTTAAGAGGTTGACACATGATGCTGAAAAAATATTGATGCAGACTTGCAGCTCACAAACTCCTGCTCACCTTTTCCTTGCGATGCTCGCGTTTATAACTACTACAGTAAGCAGTGATAACTATACTTCCTGGGCTTCTATCCCTCATCCACCTCTCAGTCAGGATATGACTCAATTGGTATGACTCCCCCATGCCAGTGTATACAAATGACACCGAATGGACACCTGGGCCATTTGACAGCAGAGGACCACATAGGCCAAATGAAGAAGGTACTGTTATGGATGATTATACTATAGGGATTGAAGGTCCTCCTATATGTTTTGGATATGGGAAACACAGCCTCAAAAATCAGCCTCAAGCATGGCTATCTATTACTAAAAATGGGACCCAGCACAAACATATTTTTGTACTATCAGCCCATTCTCTGATTGGCTCCAATCTTACAATTAATGACACTCCTCTGGTGTTTCCGTCTCGTGCTACATGTACATTGTCAGAATGGGATGGATGGGTGACTTGGGAAGCATGTAGAGGGGACATAGGGCGAGTTCCTTTAAATACTTCCTATGGAAGCATCAATGATTGGAGCCCTATGGGCTCAACTCGCATTAAAAATTCGTTACAAAATCTACAATGGTGTGTGCATAATCATACTATCCCCACCACTCCTAATGGCTCAATTGTTTGGCACAGTGGGGGATTTTCTGCGCCCAGTCCTCATTTACAACCAGGACCCTTACAAAAGCATCTATGGAAATTAACTGCTGACCCCCACCCTTTCCATACCTGGAAGGGCACATAGTATAACAACAGCTCCAGCAACATTTCTACTTTATCTTTCACGGTCAATAGTACCTGGTACATACGGGCTTGTGTCCGTTTGCCATGCATACTATTAAAGGGACAGAGAGTTTGGATTGATTCTGAGGCCCTTATAATCTGTGTTAACTGCTCATTATACATATATATGTCGTTTTAACAATCCTATACCCTTTACTCTGTCACCCGAAAGCTTATATTTACTTAGAGCACGCCCTGGCCTGTGGCTGCTGGTTCGCATGTCTCGACCATAGATTCTTCAGAAATGTATCTGATGGACCATGCTCTACGGGGAGTTCTTCACCGATCCCCACGGTTTGCTGGAATGCTTGTTGCAGCTCTCATAGGCATTTATTGCTGTGACTGCGGCCGCAGCTACTGCGGCTGTCTCTTTGCACCAATCTGTGCAGACAGTACAATTTTTGCAACAATGGCATGAGAAATCGCTCCAACATTGGAAGACACAATGGGATCTTGACAGTCGACTGTGCTGTGAGATTGCAGACCTACAACAGGCTGTGTGATGCTGCTGGGAGATCAATTACTGAGCTACAAAGACAAATATCATTACAATGTGATTGGAACACTACATCAATATGTGTAACCCTGTTACCGCTTTATAACACTAAATTTCCATGGAATGATGTTAGAGACACTTGCTCGGACAATCTAAAGTGTCTATGGACATTCAACATCTGCAAGCACAGATATATGAGACCTTCAAAACCAATCTGGGCATGTTATACAGTTCTAAGGTCTTAGAATGTATATGAGAGGGATTAGGAAAATTAAACCCTGTAGAGCATGTTAAGATTTTTAGCTTCTCTACTGCTATTCTGTTTATATTAATATGCGGTGTATTTGTCTTTGCATGTACAGTCTGTGCCAGAGACGAGGAGCCTGTCAACGTATCGACTGATAATTCAGGTTATGCAATGCCCTCCTACAGTCCACCGAATACAAACAGAAAGGGGGAGATGCTGGAGAACAACAGGCCGGAGGCACCTTAAGAATGTCCTGAAGGAAAGGGACAGAACAGCAAGAAACTGAAAGCAGTTTCGTTCCCAGGACAAAAGTCCCCTGGGAATGCTCCTTCTTTCCAGAAGGACATCATCCGGGCGCCACCCTGGGGATAAGAATGTTTTGTCTGGTGCCAGATGTACTCATGACCCAGTATGGAAAACACTGCAGGTACATGACCTGTCAAGATGCCAAATACTATGTTGTATGTGCTTGCTGGTGTCAACAATTTGCAAAAATCAAAGAGGCTTGAGCCAGCGGACTGAGGCTTTGGCTCCTGGAGAGTCTTAGTTCCCTGCTTTGCAATCCTCTCATCACCACACCTCTAGGACCTGTCTCTCTACATATTCCACACTCTCATTTTCTTTGTGTTTATTTATTACCAATATATGTGTGTGACATTTCATGTCTTCTTTTCCAAAGTGTTCTCTAATATTTCTGATTATCTTTTTTTTCTTAGTATTTGAGTGTAGCTTACACACACTGTTCCATTCCTTTCAGGTTTACAACATAGTGACTCGTCATATAATCCAATAATTGCACTCTTGGGTATTTACCCCCCTAAAAGTGAAAACACCAATTCCTTTATTTTTTAAGGTTTATTTATTTTTATTGAGCGACGGAGAGAGAGTACACAAGCAGGGGAGGGGCAGAGAGAGGAAAAGGGAGGGAGAGAGAGAGAGAATCCCTAGCAGACTCAGTATTGTCAGCCCAGCGCCTGATGTGGGGTCCACTCACAAACTGTGAGTGTACATGTCCACACTATGGAGCATTGTATAGACATCGAGTTGCTATTTCCACATCAGAAATGATTTTCGTTTCACTGAGTTTTGAAACGTTTACAAATAGAAGTCCCAGGAAGTGTTTCTACCTTTCGGTTTTCCCTGTATCACCATCACGGGACTGGAGGAGGTGCATAAGGACGCAGACACCTCAGCAATGGCACGGGCTCCTGAGCTCTCTTCTCCTGCAATCCTGCCTCACCCCTGAGCCTGACCCCTGTGGAGTCCAGGGCTGCTCAGAAACTTTTTCCTCTCACCACTGAGGCCCAGGCTTCTGCTCAGACATATCTACCTGACTTACAGTCCAGACCCCACTCAGGCTTCTCAGTGAGAACCCACCCAAGAGCAGAGCAGTGGGGGATGGCCCCTTACCTTCCACCCCACGGGCGCCACAAGACTAAGGAGAGAAGACCCAGCTGCCTTTCTCCTCCTCAGCCAGGCCCTCCTTAAGGTCTCCTTCAGGTCCAGCACCTGGACAGGGGCCCAGACACCAGGGGGCGCCCTCATCCCAGATGATGTTCAGTGAGTTAGGTTGTTTCAAAAGCCACAGGGATACAACCTGTGTCCCTCCCAATCCCCCCACCCCCCCAGGCAAATGGGTAAGAAAGATGTGTGGTATATACACACACACTAGAATATTATGCAGCCACAAAAAGGATGAGATCTTGCCACTTGTGACAACATGGATGGACAAACAGGGCAGTGTGTCCGCTAAGTGAACGAAATCAGACTGACAAAGACAAGTACCACGTGATCTCACTCATATATGGAACTTACAAAACAAAGCAAATGAATAAACAGACAAGCAAACAGCAGAATCAGACCTATAAATACAGAGAACTCACTGATGACTGCCAGAGAGAAGGAGGTTGGGAGGATGGGCACAGTGGGTGAGGGGAGTGGGAGACACAGGCTCCAGGTATGGAAGGAACAGGTCTTAGGAATAAAAGGCACAGCACAGGGAATATCAT